GATGCTGTTGTATTTGTTGATGTCCTGTTGGCATTTGATGCTGTTGTTGCAGCTGTAGTTGAGTTAACATTCAATGTTGTTGTATTTGTTGATGTCCTGTTGGCATTTGGTGTTGTTGCAGCTGTAGTTAGGTTGACATTTAATGCTGTTGTTGTAATTGTCACTGTCTTGTTGACTTTTGATGCTGTTGTTGCCATTAGAGTTGAGTTACCATTAAATGTTGTTGTTGTGCTATTGACATTTGGTGCAGTTGTTGAAGTTGTAGTTGAGTTGACATTTAGTGCTGTTGTATTTGTTGCTGTGCTGCTGATATTTGTTTCTGTTGCTGTATTTGTTGATGTCCTGTTGACATTTGAAGCTGTTGTTGTATTTGTTGATGTCCTGTTGGCATTTGATGCTGTTGTTGCAGCTGTAGTTGAGTTAACATTTAATGCTGTTGTTGTATTTGTTGATGTCCTGTTGGCATTTGATGCTGTTGTTGCAGCTGTAGTTGAGCTAACATTTGATGCTGTTATTGGAGTTGAGTTGATATTTGCTGTTGTCATACTTGTTGATGTGCTGCTGGCATTTGTTGCTGTTGTATTTGTTGTTGATCTGTTGACATTTGATGTTGTTGTTGCAGCTGTAGTTGAGTTAGCATTTGATGCTGTTGTTGTAATTGTTGATGTACTGTTGGCATTTGATGCTGTTGTTGCAGCTGTAGTTGAGTTAACATTTGATGCTGTTATTGGAGTTGAGTTGATATTTGCTGTTGTCATATTTGTTGATGTGGTGCTGGCATTTGTTGCTGTTGTATTTGTTGTTGATCTGTTGACATTTGATGCTGTTGTTGCAGCTGTAGTTGAGTTAGCTTTTGATGCTGTTGTAATTGTTGATGTCCTGTTGACATTTGATGCTGTTGTTGCAGCTGTAGTTGAGTTAACATCTGATGCTGTAGTTGGAGTTGAGTTGCTATTTGCTTTTGTTGTATTTGTTGATGTGGTGCTGGCATTTGTTGCTGTTGTATTTGTTGTTGATCTGTTGACATTTGATGTTGTTGCAGCTGTAGTTAGGTTGACATTTAATGCTGTTGTTGTAATTGTTGCTGTACTGTTGACATTTGTTGCTGTTGTTGTATTTGTCATCATGCTGTTGACATTTGATGCCATTGTTGTATTTGTTGCTGTGATGCTGACATTTTTTTCTGTCATTGCATTTGTTGTTATGCTGTTGTTCAATGCAGTTATTGTTATGGCAATTGTTGTTGAGTTGTTCACATTTGTTGCTGTTGTTTTATTTGTTGTCTCATTGACATTTGATGTTGTAGTTACAGATGTGGTTGAGTTAACATTTAAAGCTGCTGTATTTGTTGTACTGTTGACATTTTTTGATGTGCTGCTGTTATTTAATGGTGTTGTTGCAGCTGTAGTTGAGTTAACATTTAATGCTGTTGTATTTGTTGTGCTGTTAACATTTGATGCTGTTGTTACAGCTGTAGTTGAGTTAACATTTAAAGGTGTTGTATTTGTTGCACTGCTATTTGTTGCTTTGCTGCTGACATTTAATGGTGTTGCAGCTGTAGTTGAGTTAACATTTAAAACTGTTGTTATATTTGTTGTTGTGCTGTTGACATTTGTTGTTATGCTGTTGACATTTGTTGCTGTGCTGTTGACATTTATTGTTGGTACAGCTGTATTTGAGCTAACATTTAAAGCTGTTATTGAATTCGTTGTTGTGCTGTTGACATTGAATGCTGTTACAGCTGTAGTTGTGTTAACCTTAAAAGCTGTTGTTATATTTGTTGTGCTGTTGACACTTGTTGTTGTGCTGTTCACATTTGTTGTGGTTGTTGTATTTACTGTTGTCCTGTTGACATTTGTGGCTGTTGTTACAGATATTGTTGAGTTAACATTTAATGCTGTTGTTATTACATTTGTTGTATTGTTTATATTTAATGCTGTTATTGTTGGAATTGTTGTTGTGCTATTGACATTTGATGCTGTTGTTGCATTTGTTGTAATGTTTCCATTCAAAGGAGACGCTGTTTCATTTAAAGCTTCAGTGTAGTTGTGTAGTGCTGTAAAACTTGTGGTAGTTGTTAAGTTGTACATTTGTGGTGGTGTTGTCCCATTTGAAGAGCTTGCATTTGTAGTTTGTGGAGATGTGTGGCTCGCAGTTGTTTGTCCATTGAATAAAGCCAAGTGTTTCTCCAGATTGGTTTGGAACACCTGATCCAGCTGAGAAAGTGAATGAGGATAAATACATTTTATTTARTGAATTGACAACATAAATACATCAGTTAATTTACCAGCAAATGTCTGTTTCATTTTTATAACATACCCAGTCAATAATTTCGGATTCATTCGTTTTCTGTCCGCTGACAACCACAGTGACATCAAGAAAATAATGCACTGCAAAGGCAAGAATTACATATTAGTTATAAATGAAATATTGTTTACAGATTTTTGATGCCTCTCTATTAATATTAATTCATGGATGAAAGCATTATTCTTCTTTATTTTAAAGTGATGAAAGATTATTTAGTAATTTACTTACCTGATGTTTGTGATGTGGGAGTGGGAGGGATGGAAGGAACAGCAGAGGATGGGCTCTCAGTAGCTTCATCTGATTGGGGAAATCAAACAGTTTTCAGTTTGTACATTTCACTATTCTGTTTGTGTATATACATACAAAACGGAAAGGAAAATGTAAAATTTTATGTTTTCTACTTGAAATAAAAAAACAAAGTCAATTTTATTAACCCTGTTTTGCGTCCTTCCTTTTTTTAATACCATCCCAACTATTCTCTTTACTGAATTAAAGCTGTACATGCCATGTAGTTTTCTTTACCTGTTGTCTGTTCAGCTGTTGTATTTGAAGTGGTACTGTTGTAAATGGCACTTTTTGGAGTGGTAGTGTTGGTTGTGACATTTGGTGGAGTGGTGATGTTGGAAGTGATTTCTGTATTTGCAGTGGTACTGTTGTAAATGTCACTTGTTGGAGTGGTGATGTTGGAAGTAGCGCTTGTTGGAGTGGTAGTGTTGGAAGCAGCACTTGTTGGAGTGGTAGTGTTGGAAGCAGCACTTGTTGGAGTGGTAGTGTTGGAAGCAGCACTTGTTGGAGTGGTAGTGTTGGAAGCAGCACTTGTTGGAGTGGTAGTGTTG